TTACAGACGTTTTAATCGTTGTCACGTTGTGTGACCGTGCTATTCATTAAAATGGAAAGGAAAAGTAGTTTTCCACCCGCTGCGTCCCATTACAGACATGCATGCGTTGCCCTTCCGTTACCTCATTGTCAAACCTTCTTCGTCGACCAATGCCACGGTTGAGAAGAAGAACAGCTCGCAGTTGTGGATCTGTGGTCATGGCTATGGCAGGGAGGATGGCAGAAGATGGCTTTCAACATCATCGACACCGACAGCATATGCCGTTTGCCGACAAGGAGTCTCCAGGGTTAGCTGGCAACCGGCAACAAAGGCCTCCAGTTGGGCAACAATGATGCAGATGATGATAGCCGCGTGGGCTGCTCTTTGTTTTGGCTATGGCCCACTATTGTCGATCTCTGCGATCTATTCCCCCGTGCTTCACCTAGGTGGTGGTCTATGCGGCGAACGGGTGGTTTGTGGAAGGATCTCCTTCCATGTGATGATGCGGAGGATGACCATTACTTGTGTCTCCAACGAATGCGGCAGTCATTATTCAACCGTCTATTGCGGAAGGTGGGTCCCCTCTTGGAGAAGGAGGTGACGAAGTTGAGGGTCCCTTTGGATCCTGCGAAGAAGTTGGCCTATGCTCTCGACAGGCGCACGGTGACTCACATTGGCATTCTTGTTCAGGGTACGGTATGGGGAAAACCAATGAACTCCGAGCCATCAGAGTAATATCACACGTCACCGGAAAGCCGGGTTCGGGGGGTTTGCGAAGGGTAATCGTAGAAATTTGTAGAATGCAGTTGTTTGACGCCTTGGGCTTCCCGAACTGTTGGTGGTGCATAGACTGCACTCATGTTTATATGGACAAGCCGCGCACGAGGGATGGAGATGACTATTGTTCGGAACAATTCAACAGGTTCTAGATTGTAGCACAGTTGGTGGCGGACTCCGAACTGAAGATCCTTGACTTCTGCTATGGATTCCCGGGGACTGTTGGTGATGGATGCGTATTGAAGTCCACGTCACTGTACAGGCAAGCTCTACAAGGTGAACTGTTCTTGGACAATCCCGCTAATCCTTTCGCTGGTGAGAGGCCGGCAATTGCAGGTGTGCCTGGTGGGTACTTGCTCACCGATGGCGGGTGTCCCAGTCTACCATGAATCGTCACTCCTTATGGCCAGCAACCGAATCTCACGATTGGCGTGCAACAGTTCGATGCACTGCACAAGATAGATCTTGTGTGGAGCGTTGCTTTGGAGTTTTCAAGATGTGGTTCCATTTCTTCGATCTTTGCTTTGGGAAAAGCTGCAGCCAGTTCATCACCAACAGAGGTGGATATCGGGCGACATGTTCTTGTTGCCAGGATGTCAGTGCCAGGATGTCGGAGATGGAGAAAAAGATCGCACATCTTGAGATTAGTAACGAGCTTCTGAGCCTCCCAGGCCTGCGTCCTTTTGGGATGAGTCCAATTGGCAGCCTGTTGATTTTTCCACGGGACAGTCGTCCGGCTCGCCGTCTGCATGATGTCCTTCACGGCGTGTTCGGTGAATGGAGAGAGAGAGAGACCAATGATCTAAACAGGAAGTTAAGCATAAGTTGCATAACATCACACGAAAAGACTCCTCGTGTAACCATCAAGAAGGAGCTGCTCTGAAAAAACCCAAGAGGACATCCTTACCCAAACCCACTGGAAAGGGGATCATTACACGAACGACTCGGCCTCTGGGAAGTTGGGAACCCATCATCAGAATGGCATCTGCCATGCAGTTGTCTCCACTCTCCTTCCTGTCCCCAACAATAGTGGCAACTCTCTCACGTGCGTCGTGCAGCTACATCCTCCTGCACGAGTTGTGTAGTGAGTTCAGCCCCTCGCTTTGCCACATCACACGTGGCGTCACACCACATGCTGGCACACTCTCGATCGGATCGTTTGAGTGCAGTTGTGAGGTCGCGAATTGCACCTGTCCCGGCTTGCACGCGCTTTTCCGCTTGCCCAGCATGGGGTGAAAAGTGGTCGACCGTGAACCGCCGAACGCACCGCGACTTTGCCACCTGGCTCATCGCTCACCCCCCCCGTCTCTCCATCTGCATCCGCCATGTCGTTGGTGTTCATCTTCCATTCCGGGTCGTCGCCGGTGTCCCTCAAATACGAGAGATTGATAGAGTCTGTCCTTTTCAATGGAGTAGATGATGTCATACCACATTCTTAGCCCCCCTCTGACTCTAATGAATTTGGTCCCCTGCGGCAGGCCAATTCATCCACGGTGACCACGTTAACAGCCTACGAACCTGGAGGTACTGGTGGACAGGGAGCTGAGACGGGGGTGAAAGTGTAGAGGAGACCAAAGGGTACGGACTGTACGGGTAATCGCCAACTGGCCAGAGTGTGCCACAGACTCACAGCTGCCAATTTGTTGTCACGTGCCCATGTGGTGTGACCAGAAACCAAGGTCTCCCCCGAGGTGACCCGCCCTGCTTGGCCTTCCTGATCCAGTCTACCCTGATCATTGCTCTCATCTGGCCTTTGGTCTTGGAGATGATAGCAGTGTCGCTCGTCCATTCCTGATTGAACAGAACGTTGTTCCTTGTTCTCAAGAGCCTAGCCCAGTGGGTACAGTGGTACACCCATGAACTGTTGAAATACAGACCAGAGTTCGAATCCAGATGATGGTTCTAGATGTATAAAACCAGATATTTCTGAATTGCCTGGGGCCGGTCAGCTCAATGATAATATCTCAAGGTCATCGCCCTTTCTAAACAAAAAAAAAATAGAAAACAAAGAAAAAACCGAATGTTGTTCGTGTCCTCCCCGATGATCCACAGGATAGTCGAGCGGATCGCTTGTGCTACACTACGATAAATTTGAAATGAAAAGTGAATCCAATTTACCCAAATTAGAACGATATGGATAATATTATGGATAATGGAGATGATTAGCATAGTCCCTGCGCAAGGATGACACGTGTGCATTACAGTGCATACATCAAGCAAGGACAATTGGATTGAATAGTATGTGAATACCAGAACGAACCAGGATGTGTTCGTGGGAAGGTGGAGAAAACCTGAGATTCAATTGCTTTTTCTGCGTCTCCACTGAAACCACGTCCAGATTCCTCTCTGCTAGTGGGACCTCTCCCTTGGACATGTTTGCCGTCAGATACCTTCAGGAAAGTCCTATTGTAAGCACACCATGAAAAATCACCGAACCCGCACGCCAAACACGTGAAACAAACAAACAAACAAACAAGCATATGCATACATCCCACAAAATAACACAAAAAAACAGACGTGAAACTGGCGACCAACCGATCGTGAGCTCGAATCCCTCAAAAATCACGACGGATACGGCCTCAAAAGTTTTATGCTTTGATAATGGATTCTCAACCTTTCCCGAAAAAAAAAAAAAAAAAAAAAAACTTAGTGGGCATGAGACGTACCCTCGGATCACGCATAGAGAGAAGTTACGAAAACCAGGTACAGAGTTGGTGTACTCTCGGATCAGTCATAGAGAGGACTTAGAGAAGTTACAAAAACCAGGTACAGAGTTGGTGTACGCTCCGATCACGCATGGTGAGAAGTTACGAAAACCAGGTACAGAGTTGTCTAGACTCTAGAGTCTAGAGTCTAGACCACTGTCACAGTGTCACAACACAAATGGTGAGGAACTGATCCTGAGATCGAATCCCTCGAATCCCTCAGAATTTCAGAAATAGTGATGCATAGAAACTTAACAGAGCGGGAAATCCAATGAGAAGTACACTTGGCTGAGGAATTGAGAGAGAGAGAAAGAAAGAAGAAGGGAAAAAAAAAAAAAAAAAAAGAGAAAGAAAGAATTAAGAGAAGTATCGAACAACAGGCACAGAGTTTTTAGGAATAGATTTTAGGAAGAGGACTGTCACTGTGTCACACAACACAAATCATCCTAAACCCTAAAGAGTGTTAGGGGAAGGTAGAGCTGGCCCGGCTGGGGACGTTGTCACTCCTTCCCCCTTGACTCACTTGACTGGTGGTGACCCTTTGGGCCTCGCCACACCACTCTCGAAATGTGGAAAAGACAAATTTAACATGGGGCTGGTGCATATGGCCATGTTCTCGCGGGAAGTTCATTTGTCATTTTGCAGAGTGGCGCGGGGGATGCCCTTAGTCTAGAATTGATAATGACCAACTGCGAAGCAACTGCGAATGAACTCAAATGCGCGAGTGAATCAGGCTGTATTCGCGATCACATACATCTAATACAGTCAATCTCCACCTCACTCGTCTGTAACAATTATACTCTGAACCTTCTTCGTGGACGCAACCAGAAATCGTGACTCCCTTTTTTTTTTTTTTTTTTTTTTTTTAATCGTCACTCTCCCTGCACGGCCCTGCATAATTGTTTTTTTTCTTTTCTTTTTGTTGTCATCATCCTTGCGCAGGTGCCTGCACGACCCTGCAGAATTTTTTTTTAATTATTATTTTTTTTGTTGTTGTCGTCCTTGCCCAGGTGCCTGCACGGCCCTACTGTGTGTGTTTTCTTGTCATCACCGCGCAGGGGCCATGCTAATCTTCTGTATCATTCCAGTTTTTAACGGATGTCCCTAAGGACAGCCCTGAGCCCTGCAGAAAAATTAAAACTCTTTTTTTCGTTTTTTTTTTTTCAGTTCCTCTCGTCTCCTCTTCCCCCGAACACAACGCACCCTCATTATGAATGCGGGCGCGCTATGTTCGAGGGAAGGTGGTGGTATTGCTTATTACCCAGCTCCACCTCATGGAACCCGTGTCCACTGTCCATCGTCCCACAAAATGAATCCAATGTCCCAATCCTGCACATGCCCACAGTTTCACACAAACGTCATACAACACAATCACACAACGCACGCTGGACAATACAAACACACGTTCACACACACACACACACACACACACAAAAAGAAAAAAAAAAAAAAAAAAAAAAAAAAAAAAAAAAAAAAAAAAAAAACCCGCACAGCTGCACAGAAGTGGCAAGGACGTCGTACATATTATATTTACAGACTCCAAATGGTTAATATTGATTTATACACCACAAACTACGATTTCACAGGTTCTTAGGAGCTCCCTACTACTACGTAGTACCATCCTAATAGGCATCGTCAGCCTTTCCAGACGCTTCAGGAGAAACAACGTAAACGCGGAGAGAACAGGCAACAAAAAAACCAAAAAGAAAAAAAAGGAAGAAAAGGAGAGAACAGGCAATCACACTCCCTCGAGACCCCTTCAGGGCCTTCACATTTCTAATCTTAGACGAACAAATTCAACACGCTTAGACATGGAACCCGTGGCCCCTTTTCTATCCTCGACTAACATATTCACATGCTTGGGCATGGGCAGCGTTAACTGCAGTCTGCAGAGAATAGGACAAGTACCCTTCACTTTCTATTAAGGCTACGATACCGTACACTTTCCCTATTCAGTTGAGAACCTTACCAAGCACCTGCTGCTGCGCGCCGTACACTTTCCTACTCAGGCAAGTTTCAGATCGCTGCATACCCGCTGCATAGCCGCTGCTGCTCCTCTTTTTGGTTTTCCTCGTCAGGATCACTGGATTTGAAGCCGCTGGCTTCGATCATCTGGATTTGAACCGGGGTCTACAAAAAGAATATAGCTGAGACGAGAATATAGCTTATTTTCTACAAAAAGAATTAAGAAAAAAAAAACAAGAAGTAGCATCGTTGACCTGAGCGGTCCTGAGCGGCCCAAGGCAATGAAGAAATATTTGGTTTTCCTCATCATGTAGCATCATCTGGATTTCAACCGGGGTCTGTATGTCAAGTTGTCAACAGTTCAGGTGAAATACCACTGAGACCACTGAGCTCGGCACGCGTTACTGATGTGGGCCCTATATACCCTCGTCAAAGCTCGGCTCGCGTTATCGATGTGGGTCCAATCCTATATACCCTCGTCAAAGCTCGGCTCGCGTTATCGATGTAGGTCCAATTATCCTATATACCCTCGTCAAAGACATCAACTTGACAGACCTCCACTCGCACCACTACTAAGTCCAAAAGCGTAGGAGACTGCGCCTAGTTTGTGGCGTCATACTCAACACTTGCCATCCTTGCATGTTTGTGGTCAATTATAGATCCATTCAGCTGAAAAAAAGCCCAAAATGCTACCTGCGCCCTCATTCTC